TCTCTCTCTCTCTCTCTCTTTCTCTCTTTTTTTTTTTAAATTCTTCTTTTTTTTTTTCTCTAGGCTGCTCTCTCTCTTTTTTCTCTTTCTCAGCTCAGTTTTTCACCCAACTTCTAATAGTAATGGAGAAATTCTTCTTTTTTTTTTTAGGCTGCAAAATGGTTGATTTCCAGCTCAAAGATTTTGATGAAACTGATAAAGAAGTGGCTGAAGTGATGGGAGATCGTCACACGTCAGATGAAGTGGATGTGGCTGTCTCTCCGTTGGAAATCAAAAGCACGAAAATGAAGACGGACAGAGTAAGCAGCCCCAAAATATCTCCAAGAGAGTGGCCCAAACCACCTGATGTCAGCACAGATGGGCCACGAATAGCCTCAGAAAAAGTGTGTAACACGTAAGTATTATTTTCAGCAGCTTCAGTCAGGCATGTGAACTCCTTTGAATTGTTGATGTTACCATAATGTCTCCGCTTAGCTGTTATATATAATATTTTTTTTTTTTTTTTTTTGTGATGTATAATGCGTCCTTCTGTGTCAAATCAACAAGGGTCTGACTATCACTGACACAGATTATTTTTCAATTTTGGTACAAATTGAATAAAGCCTATTTTACATCTCTCGGCTAAAGGGTTACCGAGATATGACCCTTTGACCTTTGTCAAAAAGGTAAATTTTAGAAAATAGTTACAAAGTTTAAATATCAATATCTCAGTTGTTTTTTCACATACAAAACTAAATTATATACCATTTTAAAATACTTGGATAGATTTAAAAGTTTCTCTTTATTTTTTTTAGTTTAAAAGTCAAATAAAATAATGTGACCGTAACCTTTGACCTTTTTAGTTTCTCAAAAAGCATATCTTTAATTCTTTATAAAATTTGACAATAAATTTGTCTGCTTCATGACAAAATATATACAAAATTTTGTGGACATTTGACTGTGGCCTGAGTTGCAAGGGTTTTACTGTATTTGGCCAAATTCAAAATGGCGGATTTTGGTATTTACCACTATATGTTAACATTTTCATATCTCCTAATATGGTCAAGTTTTATATTTTTAGAAAGATCTTTGAATGCTGATTAATGTTCACATAAGAACTATGATCATAAAATAAACAGAATTTGTGTTATTTGTGGTTAAATGTTGAGTTCAGTGGAAAATAAACAACCTTATTTATAGTTTACATTTTTTTTATACAACAAATAGATTTTTATATTAAAAAAGTGGCATAATGAAAATAATTAATTAAAACAAAAAAAAAAAGTGTCATGAATTAATGTTAATATAACATAAAATAATATGAAAATATGCAACAATGGTTAAATTTTTAACATGGTACACTAGATGCACAAAAATCAGCGTTTTTTTATATATATATATATATATATATATATATATATATATATATATATATATATATATATATTTATATTTAAAAAAAAATAAAGTTTTGATCTGAAAACTAATACATGGTGATTAAAGTGTAGCTTCAATGTGATACAAGATCAAAAATATAGGGCTCCCAGTGAGTATTGAACTTATGAACTTAGTTATAATTAATCTAGCAGGACAAGCTTGCTAACAATTTACACCATGTTGAAGTGCTCTTAATTGCTGGTCTAGGAGTTTGAAGTTTTTGAATTTTTAAAAATTTTATTAATACTCTATCTTGCTCTTTAATTTCATTTTTATCACGATATGCTCTTTTCTTGGCTTGCAGACTTGTCAGCATTGTGTAAATGCTACTGTTATTAATTTGTGTGTGTTTTTATAAAAAGTGTGGGTATAGAAATCAATTTTGCATTGTGAGTGTCAGTTTTATGCTTTAAACAATCCTCAGACCATATGTTACTCCTCTTTGTGTGGGCTGTAGACTGAGGGGAAGGGGGGGAATAGTTTATTTAGGCCTAATGTTTAAGATTTATAGTTCTGAGTTATTTCTTTATATTTATTGTATATTTTCTTTTTGTTTCTAAAGTTTGGTATTTGGAATGAAGTTTATTAGATTTACATTGTAGGTTATTAGTAGTTTACTTTTCTCTCAGTAATGGTGTGATTGTAGGTTGTGTAATAGGATTTAAATAACTATATTCAACAAATTCAGTCAAGTCTAACGAACCTAAAAGATTAGCTCTTGGATGAAATAACTAGAAAGATTAACCGTAGGCAAAAAACTGTTTTCTTCCTTCCTCTGTTTCCCATAATCCCTCAGTAGCCTATATCTACAGCTCATATAAAGAAGAGTGACACATGGTCTGATGATTGCTTAAGGCATGAAACTAACAGCCACTGTGCAGTGTCGATTTCTATATCCATATTGTTTATATCTACAAATACTCTATCCATGATATTGAGCACTCTATCCCCAAAGTATAGAAGATTTAAAATATATGAGAGAGAGACATGATAAAAAAAAAAAAAACATTTTTTTAACAGACTTCCCCCTGATGAAGAAGTCTTTTAAAAAATGTTATGTTTGGTCAGGTTTAAGTCTGAGCATACTGGCTTTATTCAAACTGTTGATCACGCCAGATTATGCACTCTCTCACAGAAACTGTAACTAAGGTCTGCTCAGCATAGTTGCAGTATAAACCACAGGTCGGCTCTGTGGGTGTTGAACCTGTAAATGTACCTGAGCAGGCCTCTGCAACAGGAATAGGCTAAATTTTGTTACAATGGGGAAGATTGTTCATGGAGCAGAAAAAGATATACAGTGTTGACATAGGAATCAAATGTTTCATGCCTCACTGTGATCATCTGAACAACTTATTTAGGTGTGAAACTGACTGTAATCAACACTGTAGTGTTAACACATATATATATATATATATATATATATATATATATATATATATATATATATATATTATTAAGGTATGAGAGACTTAATATAAGTAAAAGTTTTGTCACTGAACTGATTGATTGATGTTACCTTCCAGAGTTTCGTAGGTAGATCCTCTGGGAATCACCCCGCCTACTCGTCAGGGGCTATCAGCAATGACTAGAAAATAAAAAAATAGTGAGGAACAAATGTATATTTATTATTAGTGTGTATGTAATAAATAAATATATATATATATATATATATATATATATATATATATATATATATAAATATAATTTTTAAGGTGTGCTATATTTACGGGATAAAGTGTTTAATATCAGATAGTGTATGTAAATATAAATATTGGAGTCAACACTCAGAGGCGTCAGGCTGTTTCATGCTAGACGCAGTTGTCAGGCCGATGATTGTGTCTAGCATGAAACACCCTGTCACCTCTGAGTGTTTACTTCAATGTTCACTATATATATATATATATATATATATATATATATATATATATAATTATTGATAAAATTTCTTTGCTGTTGAGGATATAACATTGTAACTCTGGTGGTGGTGTTTTTCCTTAAAAATTGAACAGTCTTCTTCACAGATACTGAGAGGGATGTAGAGAGTAAAATAGAGAGAGAGTGATGTCGTGAGACAAAAAGAAAGTGTAGCACAGAGGAACTGGAAGTGGTGTGTCATCTTAGATAAAGGCAGTTGTTTGTAGTGAGGGATTAAATTATTTTTTTGTGTTGTAACCTTATGATCTACTGGGGAGAAATTTGTCTTCTGAACTGCAACTGACCTTTTGAAATCTTTTTGTAATAATTATATAATCATTTTGTAATATAATAATAGATGATGTTCTCTTAATCAAAAATAGATGATGTTCTAATCAAAAATTAAACTCAGACTGTCTTGGTTTGTTTTACGGCACATCAACACCTCAATGGGTCATTTAATGTCGACAACTTTTTGTTCTCCTGGTAATATTTTGTTTTGTCAAAAATCTATTTCTGGTAATGTTTTTTTCCTTAAAAATGTATTGCTGGAAAATTTTTTTTTTTTTTTTTTTTTTACTTCAAAAATTTATTTCTGGTAATAATTTTTTACAAAGTTTTTCTGGTATTAAAACCTATTTTTACATTTTCATAATGTTTTTATCTCAGTTTTGGGGTTAACTATTTTGCCCATAGCTGGGACCCTAACAGGTTCTACCACCCCAGGTCAGGGTGGACCTGGGAACACCAGCAATTAAGAGGTGGTTCCATGCTTGTCAAAGCCTTCTGATCAGAGGCCTTGCTGTTGGACATAGTTTATCGTTTTACCCAGGACGCGGATGTAGTTTATTATCATACCCAGGACGGTCAGACTGTGTTAAGCGCCCAAGTGGAGAAACAACAAAAAAAAAACAGTGAGTGAAGAATGTATAGCGGTGACACCGAGAAATTGGAAAGTGGAGGTCATCTTGGATAAAAGCAGTTGTTTATAGTGAGGAGTTAACAATCTGTTGAGGACATTTCCGTATCTTTAAAAGAGACTTGTCACTTTTCTTATAACTATCTGGATTGAACAGTACTGAGTGCAGCATTAGAAAAACTATTAGTAAATTTGTGTAATTTTTACAGGTACTGCAAATATGCATAAATGTGTTGAAATTAAATATTTTAATAATCTAAATGAGTCTGAAATATTTTAAAACTGGGATCTATGGTTGTGCAAATATTCTTGAGTTACCACATCGTCAAAGTCAACACACTGATCACCTTCATTTGTACAAAGAGATGCTTTCATCTTGTGAAAGTTTACAGTATAGTATAGCTGGCCACTTGTATTCGAGGATACCTGTCTACTATGGTGGCTAACCAATCCCTATTGCAGACTCTTTCTCAGGTGCATTTGTGTTTATACTGTGCCTTATACTGCAACTATGCTGAGCAGACCTTAGTTACAGTTTCTGGGAAAGAGTGATCTAGTGTGATCAATAATTTGTACAAGGCCAGCATGCTCAAGCCCTCAGCCACGATGACCTGTGACTTTGTGCTAGCTCAGCTATTGATGGCCATCAAGGGTTCCATCTGCCAAATTTCACTCACAAGGCTTGAGTCAACACGTGTATGATTTTCAGGCACTTTCCAAAGGTGCCGCACGCTGGGATCGACTCCTCCACTCCGATAACACCTTTCTGACAAATTGACCATGGTGAGATTTGAACCCAGGTCTCATGGTCAGAAAGCGAATGTTCTAACCACTCGGCCACGTGAAAGTGTAATGCATTTATAAAATAATTTGTCTGTTGCACTGGACAATTTAAAATAAGTTGAAATTATAAACCTAGATAATTTAAAAAGAAAAAAGAAAAGAAAAGTTATTGTACTTTGAACCTTAATAACTGCCTTCACAACTCGTTTGGATTGGGGTAGACGGGTGCACTTAATTTACCTTTTATTTAACATTTTTGTTGTTCTGTTATTTTACAGAAGGGAAGGTCAGGATGTAGATGATGATGACGAAGATGATGATTATCAAATTGATGTAGGAGCTGAGAAAGAACTCTCAAGGTTGGCGGCTGATGATGATGATGACGACGACGACGACGAAGAGGATGATGATGATGATGATGAAGTGGACAATAAACAGAACCAGCAAGTTTCCAGGCCTTTGCAGTTAGCTGCGTGAGTTTTGCATTTCCTTCCTCCTTTAGTTCCCTTCAAGGGTTCATTTGCATTGGGTATGATGAGATTCCATATAAACATCTGCAGAATTACATATGCATACAGATAGTCCTCCAAGTATGCATGAACTGTACTTACGGCTCTTGTGAGATGACAAAGGGGGAGCATGAAGGATGTTATATTAGGTAGAGAAACTGCATTATGATTGTGCAGCTATTTAGCAAGCAGACACAAAGGGGATTTCTTACCTTATCTTACCTGTGCACTTCTGACAAGATAACACATTTCAGCAAAAGAAAATTTGGTTTGCTTTCTGACTACCAAAAATAAGGAAAAAAATAGAGCATTTAAACCCTAATGTAAAAAAATAAAAAAAAGATACCAATGTTCCAAGTTGCTATAGGAAATATTTCATTTAAGTCAAAAACCAAAAGTAGTTGCAGTGCGGCATGGAAAGTGAGATTGACAAGCTGAGTTTCAAATTTTGTGGCCTTCACTTTCACAGAAATGTCCCTGCGGAAGGCATGAATTCATCTCAGTGGTTAAATAGCTGGGTAGACTGGCATATCTAGCCTTGGATGGTAGCCAGTCTAGCTCTGAATTCAAAACTCTGGAGAGGGCTTCATAAGAGCATTTCACTGCCTTTCCTAAGAATTAATTGCAATTCACAGAAAAATATAGTCCATTGATGATGACTTACAAAAGTTGAAAGATAGGACTATATTTCTTCTGAAATGAACTTTGGACAATTTCTGACCGAATGTAAGATTATTTTTAATTCGGAAAAATCATTTAATCAACACAAAATTTCTGTTGAGTGATGGTGCTAATAAATAGTGCTTGATGTATAATAACAGAGCTATACTGGTAGGACAATGCATAATATATATATATATAATAGGAGTGTTCATGCTTAAATGAATTTGGTAGATCAGAGCTTCTGTTTCTGCTTCCTAAATAGAAAGAGAATTGTTTGTAAATATTGAAGATTCCATCTGGAGTTTAAGATTTATTTGAGAAAAAAAAAAATCATTTTTGCAGAGAAAATGAATTCATTTTTATTTTCTTAAATTGGCCATAGTTTAATTAATACTAACCTGAAATAATTTTTTTTATGTATCTTTTTTTTTTTTATCTCTTGTGTGTGTCTATATATATTATATGTTATTTTTATAGATACAAATATTTAAGTAAATGCTCTGTTTATAATAAACAGTATTGACTACATTTACCAGTCGGAAAACATATTAAAACAATTCTCGTCCATTTCATATATATATATATATATATATATCCCTCTCAGTTTGTATGCTCTTTCCTTTCCTCTCCAATTTGAAATTTTATTGCTGGTTATCTCCCTTCCATTATTTTCTGTGAATTTTTTATTTATTATAACTTCATTTAACTCCTTGTAAAATAAACTTTCATCTGAATTTCTACCATCTTGAGATATCATTATTTAAATTATTTACCATCAGACTAATATTCTCATCTTTCTAGTCAATGATTTAGACATTTCTTCTTCAGGTGTATCTCTTGATTTGAGTAACCTTCAGGAAATTTTGAGCTGAGCACTTCATTTAATGTTTTTTTTTTTTTATGCTGTTGTCTCTCCCCCCCCCATACAGGACCCAAAAATTGCTTACGTTGGAGGGTTACTGAATGGGTTTATTTTATGGACTTAGCAGGAGGAGGTAAGAAGTAAAAAATGCGTAAATTTAAGTGAGAAACAAGACCTTTTCTAATTGTGGTTTATTCATTCTCTAAGATTTTACTTACGCAAAGGAAAAAACTGCCCAGTTACAAAAACTCTTCCTAAGAAACTTTAATAAATGTTTGAAAAGTTTTTATTTATTCCTGCTTTCATTTATTGCAATTCAACTTCATGGATTGACTTTAAAGAGATTTGACGTTTTTATTTCAGTTTAGGGGAAGCTGCAAAAGTAAATACACCAAGAAATAAAAATGCTCATTATTCAGAAACACGGGGAGAACCTCCTTTTCGGTTTGTACCTTTTCTTTTTAGACATTCTTTATTCATTCATTGAGGGGCGGAGGGGGGAATGGGAAAACAAATCATTTTGGAGAATTGATTGGTCTGTTAAATCTTCATTCTTCAAAATTATTTTTTCTCTTGATTGTAATTTTGAATTCCAAGAAAATATTGATTGTATTTTGACTCTAAAAATTTAAATGCTGATAATTTTTTTTTTTTTTTCTTACTTTGATCTGTTTTTTGCCTTTTTTCTTTTTTTTTTTTTTTTTTTTTTTTTTTTTTCCCTCTCTCTGGTTTGGTTTGTCCTTTGTCCTTTTTTTTTTTTTTTTCCCTCTCTCTGGTTTGTCCTTTGTTTTGTCCTTTGTTTTTTTTTTTTCCCCTCTCTCTGGTTTGTCCTTTGTTTTTTTTTTTTTTTTCCTCTCTCTGGTTTGTCCTTTGTTTTTTTTTTTTTTTCCCCTCTCTCTGGTTTGTCCTTTGTTTTTGTTTTTTTCCCCTCTCTCTGGTTTGTCTTTGTTTTTGTCCTTTGTTTTTTTTTTTTCCCTCTCTGTTTTGTCCTTTGTTTTTTTTTGTCTCTTCTGTTTTGTTTTGTTTTTTTTTCCCCCCTCTCTCTGGTTTGTCCTTTGTTTTTTGTTTTTTCCCCTCTCTCTGGTTTGTCCTTTGTTTTTGTTTTTTTCCCCTCTCTCTGGTTTGTCCTGTGTGTTTTTTTTTTCCCTCTCTCTGTTTTGTCCTTTGTCTTGTCCCCTCTCTCTGTCTTTTCCCCTCTCTCTGTCTTGTCCCCTCTCTCTGTCTTGTCCCCTCTCTCTGTCTTGTCCCTTGTCTTTTCCCCTCTCTCTGTCTTGTCCTTTGTCTTTTCCCCTCTCTCTGTCTTGTCCTTTGTCTTTTCCCCTCTCTCTGTCTTGTCCTTTGTCTTTTCCCCTCTCTCTCCCGTTTGTCCTTCACCTTTGTAACTCTCCCCCTCTCCTCTTTTCTCTTGCTTTCTCTCTCTCTCTCTTCTCTTTTGATTTCTTCCTTAATTACTATTTATTTTTTTTTTATATTTTCTTTTTGTATATTAATTTTTAATTTTCTAAAATTAAAAGAAATATTTTGTTTGCTTTTTACTCATTGAGTTTCTCTGGAAATTATTTTAGGGAAACTCCAGTGCAAACACTTGATGATCCTCCCGTACAGATCATTCGTGAACTCATTGAACCTCAGGCATTAAAAGATGTAAGAAACATATTTTTTTTTTTTTAATTTAAATATAAATTATTTTGCTTTGCTTTTTTTTTTTTTTTTTTTTTTAATCTGATGCAAATTTTCTAAATTTCTCATTGTGATAACTCTTTGTACATAAAATTTTGTTAGATCATTTGGCATGTAAATGCAATAATAGAAGCCAAAATGACAATTATTAGTAAAATGTTGTTGGATAAATTTGATATTTTCTCTTGATATGTCACTTTTGTTGTAATTCCTTTGAAAAAAATATCATCTGTATTATTTTATTAAGAAATTATCTGTTATGTACAGGATACCTTGAAACATTCTTAACATATTATTTTAGCAAAGTTATATTTTCCTTACGTATTCTTTCAATAATGTTATCTAGTGGGAAATTTTAAAAACAAGCATTACTTTCTTAAATTCTAACAAATCTATGAAATTTCAGTGAATTCAAATGCTGGAAATCTTTACGTTCATTGCTTTAGAGACACATAGGGGAGTTCTTGTAGAAAGAATTTTTCTTTTTTTTTTTCCGCTTTATCTGTAAAGGTTTCCTGCCTTGGAATTGCTTTGAGATATTTCATAGCCTTCTGACTTTAAAAAGTTTGCCTTTCATCTTGAGCTTGGACCCGTTCCATGTTTGCCTCTGGACTCAAACCTTATATAAAAAGCAGAGGTTGATATGTTGTGAAATCCGTAACCCACAATAATTTAATATCGATGATTTTTTTTTTTTTTTTTTTTTTTTTTTTTTTTTTTTTTTTTTTTCCAGATTCAAAGCAGTCTAAAGTGTCTCTGTTCCCAGTTGGCCCAATATGAGTTAATGTCACAGCAACTGCGTGAACAACTGTTGCAGCAGCAACTGAAGCAACAGGCAGCTATGCAACAAGCAGCTAAGGTTAATGTCACTTTGCCCATGTTGGAGCAACATTTAAAGAGCATGGAGAATCGAATTGCCACTAATTTTGAACGTGTCATGCACCAACAGTCACAGAGGGAACGTATCCTTTTGTCATATTTTGTGATATGGAAGCAAAAAGGTTCTTGACCAAAGATGGAAAAAAAAACAAAACATTTTTTTTTTCTATATGGCTTCCATGAAGTATTGTTAATATGATCAAAATTTTTTGTGAATATCTTCTTCTGATTCAGAATGACTGGTTTATAAATAGCTAACTTTGATTGCCACCCTATTGTTGACCCTCCCTGTGCATTTTTCTTCCTCTATAAAGTTGGAAGAGTTTTTAAATTTTTTTTTCTTTTTATACACCACACACAATTCAGAAAGAAATAGTTAATAACACTCACACACATTGTGCCTCCCTCAAAATTGTATACACACTTTGAATTTTTATTAATGATATCAACCTATATCAAACTGTTTTTTTTTTTTTTTTTTTTTTTTGTTTTATATATAATTCAAAATAAAAAAGGCAAAAGTGTAATTATCTTGAGCTGCTGTACATATTCAAGTTGATAAGCATTCTGGCACCAACAAGAATCCAATTCCATAGATTTGGGATTTTGGCACCTTCTCTTTTAAGGGCTGTTTTTATCTAACCATATTTGACTAGGTAGTAGGCATCTGTTTATCTCACAACATAATGGTAGTGTCCTGTTGGGTCAAAATTCAGTACTTTGATGGTGAGTGACCTCTCCAGGGCACAGGCCTGGGTGATGGTGAATGGAAGTTGTGTGCTGTGCAGATTACATGCATCCCCTCCTTACAGGGCATTACACTTGTGGTCAGCTTTTCTGCAGGATTTGCAAGAAAGTTGTCTGTGTTGACAGCCAACTGCCTTTAGTTGGGTTTTCAGTCTGGATTTACTTCCATAGCCTTTTACGTGTTTGGATATGACACAAGGCAATGGGTTTAAAATCACTTTTCTTCTTCTGGACTGCCTGTTTGGGCTTTTGAACTTCATCTATCTGAAGCAGGATGGTTATGAAGCACCAGTTGTTCAACTTTTCCTATTGTCTAGTTTGGAATTGGCTGTCAGTGGCTATTTGAGATGCATGCCACTGAGGCATTTTATAGATAGTGGGATCTTGTCTCCACTATCACCGCCATCTGTTACAACCTTTGGAACATATATCTATAAAAGAAGTTTGGTGAGGTACCATTCACAAGATTTAGCTCTTCGGTCAAGATTTTCTTCATTGAGGGCATGATCCATTGTTAGAATAAAAAATTTTCAGTGACTGCTCTTTGAAATGCGATGGGTGCTATTTTGGAAATACACATCTTGCAAACTGCTTGGTGATTGATAGTAAGTTTCCGTTATCATTTCTTCTTTTGTGGGATTCATTAGCAGTCTTAGTCTTCTGAAGTGGTTCTTGTGGACATCTTGAACCTGTTCTTTCTGTTTCAAAACTTCTAGTGCCAACAATTAACCCATAACTAGTGGGGAGAAGTAGATTCATAATTTTCCCAAGAGTATTGCAAGCCATTATCCGTTACATCACCTGCTTATTCACACTTACAGCACTTGGTATTCCCAAGCAGTCACCCATCTAGGTACTGACCAAGCTCAACATTGCTTAACTTTGGTGATCATACGGGAACTGGTGTTTCAATGTGATGTGGCCATAAGCCAATCTTTAGTGAATTAAAAAAGAAAAATCAAGTTTTATTATTATAAATCCCATTAAAAAAAAAAATTCTAATTTTTGTTTTTTTTTCGTTTACAAGCACTGTTGGGGAAAAAAACTTATTAAAAACTGTTTGAATTAAGTCATTGTGTGTAACTGCCAAGCTGACCTTTGTATGAGTGCGAGATTTAGTTGTTTTAATTTGAAAAAAAAAAAGTAAGCGTAAAAAAACATGTACTTAAAAGATGAATAGATTTGATTGTCTTGGATTATTCTGAAAAATGAATATTGATCTTTAACGGAATTATTCAGATCAAAGATACCAAGACATTTTGAATGAGACTCATAGTCGTGAGAAGAAACATGAGGAATTAGTGAACACCTTATGGCAGGCTGTGGATACAACGCTCAGGAAGAATTTGGAATTGGCTGTGAAAAGTGAAATGAAGAACCATGTTCTTCCAGGTAAGCACCAATGAGTGTAGATACTTCTCCAAGCTTAGCCTAGTATGGCTCAAGGCCAAAATAGAGCAGTGATTGATTGAGAGATGCCTTGTGAGACTAAATTGCTTAGCCCTCAATTGATAGCAAGGATCTCCAAACTAAATCTGATCTGCTGCAAGATTTTGTTTCTTTATAATTTTTGTATTTCCCTTTTGTACTAAAAATATAAGCCCAAAATTTATAATTGCAAAAATATATAAATAAAATTTATTTAAATTTTATTCATTTATAAAAGTTGTGTCTCTTGAAGTTTTCAAATTGTTGTTTTATAAGAACTACTTTAGATACTTTAATGTTCTGAAAAGTTGACTGGTGCATGCAAATGAAGTGTGTGCACACACACACATATATATATATATATATATATATATAAAAATCCATGTAACATGAGAATGAATAGAGTACAATTCCAGCCTTCATAACATTTAATTTAAAAGATGGTTCAGTACAAAGTAGAGAATATTATTTATTTTAGGATATTACCCCAAAAACATGTCGGAATCACTGCACAATTGCAGTCATGTTTTGTGTAATTTAGAATCGCCCGATGAGATGCATTGATACACAACGAAACACAACTGCAATTGTGTAGCAATTTCAACATGTTTTTGGTGTAATATCCTAAAATAAAACATATATAATTAAATACAAACATGAAACTTGTCACTTACCTAATTGATGTTATATTTAGCACCCTTTATATTTAGCAACATTAAAAATTTGATAAACAGAACTTGTCAACACACACACACTGTGCATAAAGCAAGCTCTGAATATTTTTGCATGAATTTTAAGCCTTCAGAAAACATTCACCTGCGTATAGTATAACCAGTCACAGAAAATGAATGATTTTTAACCTCTTCAAAAGAATTACCTGTATATAATGCAACTGCTTATTTTCTGTGTTAAAAAAAAAAGAAAATCCTAGACTCTCACTCTACTTGTGTGTGTGTGTGTATATATATATATATATATATATATATATATATATAAAAGGAAAAACTTATATAATCAGTTATAAATTTATTTCAAGTTATATATCTCTCTCTATATATATATAAACTGTTTAAATAAATTTATACCCAATTATATGATAACTAATTAAGTCTTTTCATTATAATTTATATTGTTCTGTATGTAAATTTATACATTGAGCTGTCATTGAGTTAACTTTTTTATATTAAAAATACCTCATTGGAATAATCCCTACCACTTACAAATTTGGTATTATTGATATATATAACTTGTCATGTTTTTGTGGCAGGTTCTGCCTGAGTAAAGCAGAAAACTTAAAATCATATGTGAAGTCATTGTACCAGAGCAGTACCAGCCAAATACTAAATGGCATTATGTACTGAGAATTCATGTCATTTTGTAGAGAAGTTTTCATTTCAGCTAATGGGCTAAAAAATATGCATACAGTCAAATGGAAGGAAATTTTCCTATTTTGACATGTTTTCACTCTGTAAACTATGCCAGGCTGGGATACCTGCTCATAAGGATATTTTGCATGACTGGTCATGTTTATTGAATATTTTTTGTCTCCCCTGATTCCATTGTGGCTCACTTTTAAAGAACAGTAATCAGTCTTTGTGACACTTGAAAAAAAAAAAAAAAAATTCAACTTTCCAACCAAAATCATCTTCTGAGTCACATTTCTTCTAAAATAATAATTTCTAATATTCTTATTGGTTATTTGATGATAATATTTTCTTTCTTTCAGCTATGATGCAGTCAATTGATTCTGTCAAGAATGAATTAACCCGGGAAGTAGCACAAAAGCTAACAGCATCAGATGCCATTCTTAAAGACAATCTCACCAAATTAATCAGGAACCGGGTAAATTTGTGTTTTAATCTTCAATTAAATTTTTTTCTTTATTTATTCATACACTCATTACCCAACTTATAGTTTTACAAATAATTTAAATGCAATGTCATTCTCTCTTTACTAGTGTTTATTGTTCTTTTCTTTTTCTTAAATACTCTCACACACTCAGTAAACCCCTTTGCATCTTACCGACTTTATTGCCTTGCTTGGGGTGAAATGATTAAAAAAAATGTATTTCTTGCCACTTTATGGCTATTCATAGCTATTGGAAACTCCTGCCCATATATAGCAGCAGTATTCCATTTTCAGCCTGATCTGGCTCTTGTAGAGGATAGTGGGAGGGTTGAGGTACTTTCTGGAGCAGTACAGGGCATCGACTATTTTCCCATTATCTTTAGCGAAAGATCGTATGTACAAGTTCCACTTGAGGTCTGGGTTGAGTTTAAGTCCCAATAGACGCTCAAGACACAAGGCTTCCTCGTGTGAACATCCGTTCATCGCGATTGGTGAAAGTTCTGGGTCTGATCAGTGATTTGGGAAGTTCACTAGTTTGCTCTTTGAGGCATTGAATGTGAGCAGTCAGATTTTTACCCATGAGCTGCACAGGTTAGGTTAGAGGAGAGATCAGCTGCCAAGCTCTGGTTATCGAGGGTTTGGGAAATGCACCCATATGTCTTTTTATCCATCAGCATAAATATTCCCAAATGATCGGAGTATACACTTAGGCAGATCATTTATGTAAAGTAGGAAGAGGGTTGGACTGAGCAGTGAACCTTGGGGGATGCCCACATTGATTGCCTAGGACTCTAAGCACTGGCCATTAATAATTACCTTCTGGGGAGCTACCCATTAGGAAGGACTTTATAACTGAGAAGAAACTTCCAGTGACTCTATAGCTAGAGATCTTTAGCAGTAACTCCTTATGCCACACTTTGTTAAAATCTTGTATGACCATTCTTGAGATGTATTTGTTGTCAAGTGTCTCACTAATTCTGTGCATAATTACAGTTAGAATATCAGCAGTGGATCAAGCAGATCGAAATCCATACTGCTTGTTACTCGGGAGGTGTTCAACAACCTTATTGTTTATTATAGCTTCAAAGTTTGCTGATGACACTGAGGAGACTGATTGGTCTATACTGTGAGAGGAATGAGCACTCACCCACATTCTTGAAAACCAGGCATACACTTGACGCTTTCCACAGACATGGGAAGGATTTCTCCTTCAATCAATGGTTAAATAGTTTCGCTAGGATTGGGGATAATTCTGGGTTAATATTCTTGAGGATGATTACTTGGATTTTGTCCTTCTTAGGGTTGAGATTTTTGATAAGTCTGTAGACTTCCTGGGCTGTACTGAAAATGTTACTGAGATTGTGCTCAGTGGGAATTGGGAAGGGGATATCCTTTTTCATCTAATCCTTGTCTGAGGAGGATGAGGTGATCTCGGGGCCATTTATAATAGTCAACACGAATGCTTTGCCTCTATTCAGAATTTGATTAGAGATCTTCTAGAACGTCTAGGATCCAATTTGTTTACTTGTTAAGAGAAATTCTTTGTTTAAATATCAGTCACTTCTTTGATACCTTGTTAACTTTAACATACTATACCTTAATTTTTATAATCAGAAATTTGGCTTTAACCTCACTTACCTACTTGGTAAGCTGTAGCAATGTAAATTGTTTGGAATATGTGTAAAGATATCACAAGTAGGTGAATAAGATGTAAGAATGTATTAAAAACAAATAAATCAACCAATTTTATTGGTGGAAGTAGAAAATAGTTGCTTTTTTTTATGTTGCAGTTTTTTATTATTTTCTTATATTAACCAAAAAAGCTGAAATAGATATTGTGTAAACAAATAACATGGAATGTTGGTGTTTTGCCTGGATAATTGATTGCTTAGCTAATTGATCTGATTATTAAGACAAGAAACCTTAAATATATAAAAATGCTGATTTAAAAGATTTATTCAGTCAGTGAAACCAGATATTGCTTATAAAATTTGTTTTATTTTACAAATCACAATTGTTATTTAATTTTAATATAAAACTGAAAATTTGAAGAATTATCTCATCCTAAAAAAAAAAGATGATTCAGCAATCTACCATTTGGTCATTCATTGAATATTGTTGCCAATTCAGGTCTGGTGCTCTTGCTATATATTTAGAGATTCTTGATGAAATCCAAAGAATCTGCAATGTTATTGGTTCTGACCTGGCATATTGGCTTCAATCCCTTTGTTATCATTGTAACATAGCTTCCCTGTGCTTTTTTTTTTTTTTTTTTTTTATAAATACTTTCATGGTAATTGTTCTGATACCTTTTCTGCTAAGGTACCTAGACTTTATGAATTGAAGTGTAGTACTAGATTGGCAGCAAGGTTTCTCCCCATTTTACATTTGAAATGGCTAGATGTAACCATCAAATTTAAGAAGGAAATTCCATCAGAAAGTAAAGTACAGAAAATATGTCTCAAGGTTTCAACTTAAAATCATCAAAGCAGGTAGAAACAATAAAATTTCTAACAGCTTATTTTTTAAAAAAAAATTAGCATTGTTACACCATTTAAAAATTTCACTAAACTTACCACATGTCTCTACCTACCTATCTTAGACCATATTTCCTGTAATTTGGAAAAGTTGATTATTAAAATTAATCGACATGAAATGTGTTATTTTAAAAACTTTTGCCTTAAAGAACATTTGTTTCCTAAATACACAGGAATATGCACACACACACAGTGTTGATACCAGCATACAAAGCATGTTTAGTAATTAAATAAGTCCAGTAATATTATAAATCTTTATTACATACTTATAAACACTTACAAACCAATCCCAGGGACTTGTTTGTAAGCAGGAGAGTGTTTGAATATACATTTTTATTTATTTTGAAGTTTTCTAGTACTAGGGATTTAGTTACAAAAGTCAGCTCTTAAATTAAAATATTGGTGTGTGCATAGGAAGTTGGTTAATTAGATTGTGTTCTACTTGATTTTATTGAGTGAAGCTTAACCCTGTTTTTTAATTTTTTTTTTTTTTTTTATTTTAACTTTACAGCAAACAATTGAAGCAATTGGTTCATCTGTAGGTGCTTCGATTGAGGTGCCTATCCAGACAGCATACAGGGATGCATTCCAGAATATTGTGATCCCCAACTTTGAACGGACATCACAAAACATGTATAACCAAGTGCATGACACATTCCAAAAGGGAACCAAAGAATGTAAGTTTTCTTTTGCGTGATTGAAATTTAGGAAGAATACAACTGAATTTATTCCAAACTTCTGTCTATATTTCTGAGATCAGGTAACTATTTACATCTTTCATATTCTTGTCCTCATCTTTATTGCTGTAGTCATGACATTTCAGCTATTGTATGCTCCAGCCTTCTTCAGGTGCTATATGTTGGAATTTCAAACTGAACCCTTTATTCGGTCCATGGGGGTAGATTGTTAAATTTCATGTGCCATGCCTATTCTGGATATCTCTATTTAGTTGAAGTAATCCAAATATGACTTGACCCAAAGAGTTCAATACCTGGACACAGCAGAGGTGAACAAAATCTTGGAGAGTTGACTTACTAAAAAAGGGAATTAACTGATACTGAGATATTCCCCCCCTCCCACCAAAAACAGGCATGGCATGTGGAATTAGAACAATCTACCTCTGTGGACTAAATAAAGGGTTTGGTTTGAAATTCTAATGTATATCACCTGAAGGAGGCCAGAGCATACAATGGCTGAAACATTGTGAATATGATAATAAAGATAAGAACAACAGTCTGAACAATGTAAAATATTCCAACCTAGCTTAGGTACCTCCACGAGATCACTAAAAAAAGAGCATAGCATGATGAAAAAGACGCCAAACTTGACGAAAACAAAATTTTATCGTCTAAATGTTTGTTATTATTAAGAGGAAAGGTCAAAGTATTTTTGGGGTATTTTTTCCATTTTTTAATCGTTCCTAGCACGTCCAAAATTTTCGTTAAAAATCTAGTTTTTTTTGAGTCAGCAAAATTGACCATTTTTTTCCATTTTAAAAGAAACTGGAAATCTGATTTTGAAATTTTTTTTAAATATCAATTATCATTTTTTCAAAACTTATTTTAAGAAAATCAGAAATTATAATGTTTATTTAAAATATTTTGAACCAAACTTAACTTAGCTTTTTTTTGTGCCAAAAAAGATGTAATTAGAAAATAAAACAAAGCAGGTCATAAACTTTCGCGTCTCTTGACATGTGATGAATGATATATTCTGAATTCCATGAGGCTAATTTGTTCTGGAAGGAGAAAAGTGAAATAATTTACATTTACGTGAACAAATTATTTACCCGTTATTTTTAACGAAAACTTTCAGCGTCTTTTTTTTTTTTTTTTTTTTGTACTTAGCTTTCACCTTTACGTTTATGATGCTTTATGGGAAATATATTGTAAAGAAATTAAAATAAAACTGTTAAGAGTGACATTAAATTTCATATTTCTTAAGAAAGGTATCTAATTAATTTATAGGTACCTTTCTTATGAAATTTTATCAGAATTGTACATAAAATACTATAATTTTATGTACATTTATTACATTCTACTGTTATTTGTATTTGCATTCATTTTATTATTAATTTTGATATTTCATTTATGGAAAAATGTCATAACAGATTAATATAAAAATAAGATCATATAAATTTCATAAGATGATACTGATACTTGTAGGTACCCTTCTCAGTTGAAATTGAAAAATCAAATTAACTTCTCCACACGTGTTTTCATAAAAAGTAAAGGCCTTAACAGCGGAGAACAATGCTTAACTCAAATAACGCAACATAATTATATTCTGGTTGGTCTTCCGTATTTTATAATTACAGCTCGATTATAAGAACAAAATTACATTTCTTAATTCCTGGGGATCTTCTGATTAGTCAAAATGATACAATTTACAACGCGCTAAAAAAAAAAAAAATCTATCTCATAAAGACACTTATGAAAGCCAATGCGGCTTTTAACTAATTTTATAATATTTTAACAACTTAAATGTAAAATCTATTATAATTAATGAAATAACAAATAATTGTATTAAAAATTCATTTTTCATCGAAAAAATTTTTTTGCTTTCAGAAAATATTGTCCATATTCATAAAAACAACTAAAAGCAAATAAAAGCATTTGAAATTAAATAATATCTTTGTTTTATTGAGTTTTGTATGTTACAATTCACAGCTGATTTTCAGGTACTGCGTATCCAATTAAAAAAAAAACATGATTTGCATTCCTCAAAGCCCTGTGCTTTTAATTATTGTAATCACTAAAACCGATGTGATCGAATTTCTAGCGTTTTCATAAAATTAGTTATGGGGGTAATAAATATTTTAAAAATATTTCTCCCATGACTTTCATAAAAAACATATAATAATTTCGATCATCTGTGAATAGTTCCTGAAAGTTTCATTAACATCCGATAATTATTTCTATTTTTGCACGATTTTTCAAATTAATGTGTCATACCAAAAAACGTGCTAAAAATTGTCTGTTATTTACTAGTTCCGCTGATACAAATAGAAACAAGGTTTTTTAATCAAAATTTAGAATGTTCTAAAAGAAGGAAAATTTTTTAAAATAATTAAAAAAACTTTGGTCTTTCCTCTTAATAATAACATAAGCATTTAGACAATAAAATTTTGTTTTCGGCAAGGTTGGCGTCTTTTTCATCAAGCTATGCTCTTTTTTTAGCGATTTCGTGGAGGTACCTAACCTAGCTTCTTTCATTTTTTTTTTTTTCTTAGCATGAACAATAAAGAATGAGAATCTAATTTCTGATTTCAAAATTTCTTTTTCTATGAAAATTTTCTTCTATCTTGGATGCAGCAAAAAATATAGATTTTATTCTATACAAATATTGTTTAAATACAAAATCAAATTTGAAAGTCTAAACAATTTTAAATTGTTTATACTAAAAAAAAAAAGTTAATCTTTTTCTTAGCAACATTTTTTTTTTTTTTTTTTTCTCCAAAAGAAAAATTTACTGTCTTTACAGGCTGAAAGTTACTTTTTAAAAAAATTTATTTAATTTTGTTTGAGTTATCAGGTTTTTTTTTTTTATTAATTTTTTTTTTCATTTTCAAAATTTTGCCCATCTTTTTGAGTCTAGAATATTTTTGGTGCTGAGAAATAATAATTAAACTTTTAATGATATAGGTAAGAAAGAGTAGAGGTGATACTCGACAATAAGCTACAGAAGAACTCAAAATTGATCACTGCATTTACGTATTGCATTAATATATAAGCTTACCTTTTAAAAGTTCAATGATAATTCTTCTGCCACCACTTAATTTAAAGACAATTTGATGTATGTAGATCATTACTTTCTGCACAAACAATTTTATTTATTTAATAGGTGACTTTCACTGGATTTTGCAATTAATTTTGATTATTTCCAAATTTATTTCCAAGTTATAAAAATTATCGTACAAGATATTTGTTGCAAAAATCACATAAAAAAATTGCCAAAAACAATTGCAGTAATGAAAACTTGAGGATCAAAAATTTCAGGATTGGGGGTCTGGATGTGGCCTGGAATGTTTTTAATTTGCTCATGGAGTCACCCTGATTTCAAAAGGGTATCATATATAGGAGAAAATTTGAAAAGATATGACACACTGGCATTTATTATATAATATTCTTAATAAACTTTTGTATACTGTATTTTCTAACACATAATATAAAATTTTGAAAAATCATAAATGTAAAAAAAAAAAAAAAAATGGGATTGTATTATACACAAATACACGTTTTCAGAAATTTTTCTTGGCTTAAAAACCACTTATTTGAAATGGCAAGATTGCAAATATATACTCAATTAGCACAATTGATAATATACAAACAAGGCATACAATTGCATTCAAAATACATTTAGTTAAAGGCATTAAATAATACATGGAGTTTGATATGCCGCTAAATAAAATAAAGCAAAAATTAATCTATTAAAGTCAAAGGTCAGTTGTTATCTGTCCTCCTTGTCCTTATAAATTCTAGTCAGCATGTAGTTAGACAATTATTTGTTGTCATTCTTTTTGGAATCTAATTTGATGTTATTTTTGTTTTATTTCTACTTTTGGTTGATTTGACATTGAATCATTTCTCTTGAGTATTTTTTTTTTATTTTCTGTATTGAAAGAATTTTTCCCAATTCTTTTCAGATCTTGTCCAATTACAACAGCATTTGGAAATGAGTCGGCGTCGGCAACTTGAAGTGAGAGACCCTGTGGTTGGCCAACTACAATCGATAGCTGAAATGTTTAAAAACACCACAGATCACATCCACACGCACCTCATGTCTTCACTTCAGAACAAACTTGACTCCGTTGTGTCACAATCTATGAAAGGGTAAACATATTTTTTTTTTTTTTTTTTTTTTTTACATCTACCTTATCTCCATCATAAATTCTTACATTACTGTTTAATTTAGATATAGGAAATGGATTTCCCAAAATATTTCAAGCAGCCACATTTTGATGTAAATGTCGCTATTTTACTGGACTTTTATTCCAACAGTAAACATAGGCATAATACCAAAATGTTTTTGTAAGGGTTTGTAAGTTAATAAACATGTTGAGAGATTATCGTTTATGGCCCTTTGGTGACCATTGCTCATACTACAAATGTAAACCCCTCACAACATTTTTAAATCTAAATTTTCCAGCGATCAGAAAAGTGCTATAAGAAGATAAAATTTGAATCTAGAGCTCTGTTTTATTTAATTAAGCAAGATTTGGTTTAACTCAATTGACAGATACAAAATTAGTTTAACATATTTTTATTCTAAATCAAACCTTTTGCTTTGTCTAAAACTAATCTTTTAAAAACATAGTGAGTTCCTGTTATTGCAGAAAGATTGGTGGTCATAACTCTTGCTCTTTTTCAGTTATGAAGGACAAAAAATGCATATGATGAATTATAATAAGATTTACATAATTTTTTTTTCATGTTTTTTATTTTCTAGATTACAGATATGAATTTATGAAAATATTCTGAATTAATTGATTGTTGTATTCCCTGGCATAGTGTTTTTTTTTTTTTTTTTTTGTTAGTAACTATGACAAATATTTTTCATTGGTAACTGTGACGAATATTTTTTGTTGGTAACTGTGATCAGTATTTTTTTCACTGTTAACTGTGATGAACACTTTAATGTGTAAATTCTTTTTCCTACACTAGAATTCAGATGCTGTCATCTTTGTCTTATTACCTTGATATCCATACTGTCACTTAAAATATTTAAAAATGTTTGTTTAATTCTTAGTTTTCAGTACTTATTTCCAAAATTAAAGATGAGACCTTTTGGTTTATTTTCTAAATTTTATTGAGATTAAGAAATACTTTTGTTTATTTTATTGTTGATTGAAAGCTGGTTTTAGAATTTTTATGTTAATCTCTGGATTTTAATGAAATGTGAATTAAGATTCTCTTTGGATGCTTTTGATCTTATTTAATTTCTTTTGCTTTATATTGATTTCCTCTTAGATGTAGTAAGCAATAAATATTCTCTAAAAAAGTTAATTACAGAAGAAACCTTTACATATTTTAAAACATTATTAACCTAGAGATCTATATCTATAATTCTCAAAATGTCTGTATGTGTGTGCGTGATCAGATGTTGTTTATGCATTTCCACAGTTTTCATCCGATTTTGTTGAAATTTTTGTTGTTTGATAGATAATTCTTCAGTTTCGATTTTGAGTCCAAATTGTTGGTGACAATGGCTCTCCACTACTTCCTGTCCATTATAACTCTCAGCAACGTTTTACTATTTACTATCTGTTCTTGGATATGTATTTTCATAAAAATAATAAAAATAAATAGTTCAAATTATTACAATAATATTATTTATTATTTCCAGTTCCCTTTTCAGGGCCACCCTCCCAATCAAATCGTTAACACCCACCCCACCATTTGGGGATGTGCCTTAGTTGCACCCAATTGTTGTTACTAATATTGATTTTTGGGTGGACTGACTTTAAACTTAAACTACTCCAAATGAATGGCAAAAATTCCTAGTAATGAAAGACCCGTTATTGGTTATACTGCTAGTTGTTCTATATAATATATAACAGTTAAGCATTGATTATTTATTTATAAGCTTTGAAACCTTTCCTTGTTAAATTTCTAGATGAAATTTTGAATCTTTCTTAATTAAATTACAAAATGAAATTTGTTTTGAATAGCCACTCTTCTAGATTTTTTTTACATTAATGCGAGTGTCTCCCCGGGCTCTATCCTTGAACCTACACAAGTCATAATTTTCATCAACAGCCTTCTCAGTGTTATCAGTTCTTAACTGATGTATCTATGCTGATGACATAACTATTTACTCGTCTTAATGGTAAGTCTGGTAGGTTCGATAAGGTCAAATTGGTGGCTGATGTAAAAAAAAAAAAATGATCTACAATCTGTTGTTAACTGGGGCAAGAAATAGTTAATTTTAACAGCTCAAAAACAAATCTGTTTTTTTTTTTAATTGTCTTAGAGAACCATTATTGTCTTTCATCAGCATGGCTGATGTTAACCTTCAGGAAAATGACTCATTGTGTCTTCTTAGGCTAACGTTTTTTTCACTGACCTGAAGTGAAATTATTATATTGAATTGTTTGCTAGGAAGTTTGATTCATTGTGTCATGCTAGACAATTATTCTCACCAGACTATCTTACATTTATAGGGTCTATTATTCGTCCATACCACATCTGATCTGGTGCTTCTGCTATGTATTTAGATATTCTTGAGAAAATACAAAGAAAAATCTGCAATGTTATCAGTCCTGACCTGGCACCTTGACTTCCATCACTTTCTCATCGCCATAACATTGTGCCTTTTCTATAAATATTTTCATGCTAATTGTTCTGATAAACTTTCTTCTTTGGTATCTTTACAAATTTAAGTGCAATACTAGGTTGGCAGTTAAACCTCATCATTTCACAGTTGAAATGGCGAGATACAGCTGTAAGTTCTATGCTAAAAGTTTCTTCTCTCGCACTTCTCACTTGTCAAATTTGATCTTCAAGAATTTAAATGCAATTATGTCTTATTTGTTTGTTCAAGGTGAAATTTAAAAAAACGAAAAAACAATTACTCAAACTTTCTTTTTGGCAATGGTTTTCTTTTTTACCAATATGCAAATGCACTGAAAAATAAAACCTTTTGCTGTTGAGATAATTGAGCATAGGACTTAGAACTTATGGATACATCTAACCATTTCAACTAAAAAATGATGAGACCTAGTTGCCAATCTAGCACTGCACTTAAATCAGAACAATTATCATGAATATATATATAATTTTGCAGGAAGCTATGTTACAGCAGTGGGAAAGTGACTGAAGCAGAGAGGCCCAGTCAGGACTAATAACATTGCAAATTCTTTTGATTTTTTATCAAGAATCTCTCAATCTATAGCAGAAGTACCAGATCAGATGTGGCAGTAATATTCAATGCACGGATGAATGGCAGTTATCTTTTGTTTCCTTGATTCCTGTTCATTTATTAGCCTCTCTCTTTAGAAATGATTTTTTTCTATTCTTTCACACTCATTAACACTTTGTGGCTTTATTGGCTTGACTGAGGTGAAATGATTTCAAAAAACAAAAATTGAAATACAAGCAAAAATTACTTAAGTTTTCTTTTCAGTAATTTTTTTTTTTTTTTAATCTGCAAATTCAGTGAAATATTAAACATTTTGCTGTTGAGATAAGTCGTTAGGTGCAATCCGCAAGTACTTTATTCAGGTGTTTTGCAAATATCTTTTTTTTTTATCTATTTAATTTCTTTTCAGAAAGGACATTTATTTTTTGTAATCACTGTTTCTTTAGATCTGTTTGTTGCTAAGGAATAAGGAATAGCCTTTGCTTATTCACTGTCAACAATGTATCCTGTCCGATTTGGTATCTGATGAAGAGTTCTCTTCATCTATCTTCTGTTGCCCTTAGAAACCAAGAATGATTTCTGATTGGTTAGTTCTTCATGTTAGGAAATCCGGCTCTTGATACACTGATAAGTTTGTTTAGGAGCTGAACTTTTTTTGTCCTCTTCAGTCTCATCCCAGCTAGCATTGATTTATGAAGAATTCTTAGCTGCTTTCAGAAAACTTTAGAAAAGTATCAGAGTGGATCAATATGTCTGTAGCCAACATGTTGGGATTAACAGAATTTTATTTTGAAATTTTTACTGTTTGACCTATGTAATTAATGGTGTTTAATCTTTCTCCTTGTTAAGGAACTTAATGGTTTTTTTTTCTTGTAAATCATCATAGATTTATTTATACCTACATATCTTTATTGGGTCAGTGAGTAGTCTTGTGTGTGTGTGTGTGTATTTGGTTATTTATTATCTTTTTTTAATTTTTTTTTTTTTTTTTTTTTTTTTACACATTTATCCTTGTATAGTTTTCTCTTGAAAGTGCACTGATTTCATACAATTGTCTACGGTCAACCTAAGATTGGGCTTGTATACAACATAATTGATCATTGCAAAAACCTTAGTTGCACAATGTGGTATATGAACCAATAGAGAAAAAAACGGATTTACTTGGAAAGAGCCAAATTTTAAGTCTAAAAAATGTTAATGGGGAGTAAAAAAAAAAAAACTCTTGTCACAGCATCGCTTTCCTCACACGGGTTAGTCTCTCATTCTGGCCTGAAAATGTCTACTATAAATAGGTGAAATGCATGACTGAAAAAGTTTTTAACTTTGTTTCATTATCTGTATATTCTGTTTGTGCATTCATTTTAAGCTAAGTATTCCTAGATTTTTCTGGATTATTTTCTGTTTAAGATATAAAGTTACAGAATAGAAGAGAAAACCAATTCTGTATTTACATGTGGTCTGTTGTCCCCCATCTTTGTTATTATCAAAGCATTTTGGTTGTTGTGCCTTCTGTCCTTCATCAGGTGATTGTCAATCCAGGAATTTTGAAAATAGGAGTTGACATGCCGTTAAATCCAACATCCATCCATCCAGGAATTTTGAAGTGAACCATTTATGTGAAGATAGATTGCTCTTATCCAGCTGTCCATGACTAGGCATATGTTGCCTTGTCTTTATTTAGTACTGCTCAGTTTATTGCTTGCCCTATTTCCATGGAGTCCAAATACACACACATGGCCCAGGGATTGAATTCTCAGTTACTGTCAGGTCATCCCATAAGTTCTGTCCAAATTTTGAATAAAGAAAACAAGTGACCAAATGTTACATTTAATTACAGATTCAATCAACAATGTATTTTCCCTGATTATCTATGACTTCCTTCCATCTATTAACAAGCTTACTAATTCCATCACTGTAAAATTCTTTTAGCTTTGATTCGAAGAACTCACAAATGTCAGTTTTAACCTCTTCCTGTGTTACAAAAGCTGTTTCTTCCAAATGATTCTGTAAGCTATGGAACAAATGGTAGTCTGAAGGAGCAAGATCGGGAGAATAAGGTGGATGAGGAATTTTCTCCCAACCAAGTTCTTTGATCTCTTGTGATGTGATTCTTGCTGTGTGGGGTCGCGCATTGTCCTGATGAAACATCACCTCTTTTCGATTCACTAGAGCAGCTTTTTTATCCTCAAAGCTTAGTTCAAATGCTCTGATCGCTGACAGTATATTTGAGCATTAATTGTTACATTAGGTGGTAAGAATTCAAAGTGGATTATTCCTTGGTGATCCCACCAGATTGAAAGAAGAGCCTTTTGCCCATGAAGTTCCCTTCTCGGCTGGGGGTCCTTCCCCTTTAACAAGCTACTGTCTACGACGCTTAACATTTCGATAAAAGATCCATTTTTCGTTGCCAGTCACAAGTCTATTCAAAAAAGGTGAAACAAGTTGGTGAGAATGGAGAGAAGAGCAGATGTCAACTCGGGATTTGAGGTTGTTTTCAGATAATTCATGAGGCACCCATTTTCTAAGTTTAGGAACTTTTCCAAGTTGTTGAAGATGACGATGAACAGTTGTATGTTTTGAACTGAGAACCACTGCCAATTATTCAACTGAAAAAGCAGGATTTTCTTCAGGGGCTGCTTCAAGAAGCTTTTCATCAAATTCAACTGGCTGTCTGGTTCGATCTTCACCTTCAAGGGTGAAATCTCCACCTCTGAATTTTGCAAACCATCTTCTGCAAGTTCTTTCATTCACACATTCCTCTCCATAAACTGAGTGAATGTTTCTAGCCGCTTTGGCTGCTGAGTTTCCTTTCTTGAACTCATAAAGCATTATGTGCCTCAAATGATTCTTGGGTACTTCCATGTTAGCAGGGTTTTAATCAAACAAAATTTAATTTTATTGTTCTCTGAAATAAAATCTGATCAGTTTAAATGCATCTAAACATAAAAATAATGTTCAGATCCATTAGACATTATAAAATACTCTTTAAATTTTGTTTATTTTAACAAAAAGTTAAAATTCGGACAGAACTTATGGGATGACCTGATATATCACCAAGTTAATGAACCAACATCCCCCTAGGCTATTATTCCGTAGGACAATTCTGAGTAGAGAACTTGAAGTTTGAACATTTAATGCTCTACATCATTTATAAATATTACTTCCCCTTCTACTGTATATAGAATCCCGTCAAAATATAATGTTCTATGTATTAGTTCTATATATTTGAAATAGGCTCTCAATTTCAGTCAAGATTGTTTTAGGTGTTGCCATAGAAGGATATTACTACACAACCAAGGTATTCAAATTCAACTTGCATTAGCAGGACTAACATTTTGTTTGGTGAAAATAGTCACCTATAGAGTGCTAAAGGTTAAGCCTAACCTGCCTTCTGATGAGTTCTGCTGTTACTTTTCACACTCAATGAGGCTTCACTTTTCACTACAGCTGCTGCCTCTATTAAAACCTTGTTTTCTGGTCCTCTTCCTTGACCCTTTTGTTTCCGCCTGCAGAATCTGACATAAGGTTTGCAGGAAACAGGGGCAAGCAATAAATGAGCATTAATAAATAAGAACTAGACAAGTTATCTTCCCATGACTTTCTTGTTTTTTTTTTTTTTTAATCATTTCACTCTAAGCAAGTTGAAAATGCCACCAGTATGCAAAGAGTTACAGGGTGTGACAGTAAGAGAAAAGACTGAGTATAGGGAAGATTGAGGAAAGGAAAAAAGATGAACAGTATTCAAGAAGGTAGATGATGTTGATTTACATTGCATTTAAATTTTTGAAGATTGTAGTTGTCAAGAAAGCAAGCAAGTAAATCAATTACATTACAGATCCTACTTTAGATTTTGTCAAGAACATTGAGATGAATGGCAGGAGAACCAGACCAGATATGGCAGCAGTATTCAATGCATGGACGAATGGTAGATTTGTAAATGTGCAAGATGGACTCTGGCATGACACAGGGAACCAACTTTCCTAGCAGAATGAGAGCAATCTATCTCTGTTGATTAAATAAAGTGTTCAGTTAGAAATTTCCTGTAGGTTACCTGTATCATCAGTCATGAAGGCTGGAGAGCAAAACGGCCAAAATGTTGTGATAATAACAACAAAAATGAGGACAATAGTCTGCCTGTAAATAATGATAATTCCTCATCCTAGAAATTCAGGTTTGTTTGTTTTTTTTTTTTTTTTTTTTTTTTTCAATCCTCAAATTAAATCTTGTTAATTAGCAAAAGAAAATTAATGGTGATTATCTCCCTTTTTACAGTAAGCTACTTTAACTGAATATAAACATTGTTCAGTTTTATTAATACATTCTTAAGGTTAAGATTGGTGCCAAGAAGCCCTTGTTTCAGTATGCAGTTTAATTTCAAATGTCCTTTGCAAGTATTTTTTTCTTTCTGTGGGTACATTACAGTCCCTGTTTGGTTTTTATTTTTCTGCCAAGCCAGGTTGATTGCTAGGAAATTAAGTTTATGAAGAGCAACATGAAAAAACTTCGAAATTTGTTAACCTGAATAAGATGAAAATGGATTTTGAAGATTTATTGTCATTTCTAACACATAGTTTTTAAGTTTCTTCTAAGAGCTACAACATTATTGGTTTTTGTTTGTTGTTATAAAAAAGATAAAAAAAACTACAAAAAGAAAACGTACAAAAACATAATCTTGAACAGTTTACAGTTTTTTCTAGTATAATGTGACAAGAATTCAAGAACATTGTATCAAAAAATGGTCTGATTGCTTCATTTTTTGTGTGTGCGTGCACGTCATGTTCAGGGCCAGCTTCTAGGACCACTCAAACTTAGTTATAATGCTGGTTTAAAAAAAAAAAATTTTTTTTCACTTATCTTGTATTGAAATATGTGCTAATTTGGTTTGCACTAAATAGCAAAATAGTGGTATTTCTTTAATTAATATTTTTATTGGCAAACAAGATAGCTATTCTAGTTTATACAAAGAATTTGCAATAAGTTTACTTTAAGCCATGTAAATGTCACTAAAATAAACAGTGACAACCCTTTCAATTGTAAACAAGGTCTGGTGAACAGTATATAAAGTACGATACATTAGTGCATACTTGAAAAAGTAGCTGTGAGAAATCTATTATTTTTGTTATTTTGATTAATATATCTAGATTAACACTATTTACATTATTTGGACTCTTTCGCTCACTGGGGTAGACTGTTCTAGTTCCACTTGCCATGTCTAATGGATGTCAGTTATCAGTTATCTCCTGTTAATTCCCCTCTGCAAATTCTCCACCACTTTAATCAGGTATTGAACTCGCACTCTTTGGGTCCTGTCACTGGATCTAACTAAGACCTTTATCCACTGTGTCATGTGTCCTTGAGGAGATAACTGATAACTGACATCCATTAAACATGGCATGTGGAACTAGAACAGACTACCCCAGTGAGTGAAATTAGAGGTTCAGTTTGACATTCCAACCACCTGAAGAAAGCCAGAGCATACAACGGCCGAAACATTGTGATAAATATGGCAACAATAGTCCAAGTAATGTAAATAGTGTACATAATGCCTCATCTCAGAAATATAGACAGATATCTATACTAAGTATATATTTATTTATTCCATATATACGTGTTTATAGTATTTACATTATGATCGTAACTACTGGCAGTGGTTTTATAACTCAAAAATAATCCCTTCCCCATCTATGGACAATCAGATTTAACAGACCACCCATCCTCCCCTATTAGTCTGTTGATGAGAGGTTTGTCTGTACTTGTCTCCAATCACAAACTGCAATTAATTATGAATTCCATAATATTTTTCATGGCTGTAAAGTATGTGCTTTGCCAGGGTTACATACAGTTTTACTTTCAGAATTGTTTTAAACTGGCTGCCAACCACAGCTAGAGAGCTCAGTCCACCCTGATGTTTATTAACCCATAGCTGGTGGGAGAAGAGATGAATTCCAATCGTGA